AGCCCATTTCATCATTGTCAGATGCATGGGATTGCCCCCATCCCCCAATCTCCTCCAGACATGTGTCATGGGCATATGGGCATATGGACATTGGACATGGGACATCAACATCAACATCACCATATGAAATGTTTTTTATTTTATTTTTTTGTGATTTCTTTTTATTTTTCAGCTGAAACACGTGTGGCAATTATACTAAGTGTAGCCAATAATTTCGGTTAATAATACACAAAAAAGAAAAAAGACAATGGACAGACAGGGCGATATAGTGGTTAAATCGAACATAATTATGGCCATTAAGAAAAACTTTTTTTAACGCATTTCTTTGCGGACATTTGAAGGTCATTGGGTAGACTGTTCATGACTATCGAGCATTTGCATCGATTAAATTAAATATAGATAAAGGCACAAACAATAAAAGTAATGCTTGCCTCGAATCGTGGCCTCAGTCATGCCAAGTTTATCGATGGAAAAAAAATACAAATAAAAATAAAACAAGTTTTCCTCGTGGCTCTATCGTATTACATTGAAGCCGTGAGTTCCGCTTTTTTTTTAAACGATTCTAGGTGGGAAATATAAACGCCCGATTCGCTACGTTTGTTTAAATGAAACGGAGCTCATCAAACCCAAGAAAAAAACTCTTACGCCTCCGAAAAACACCTTAACAAATGGTTTTTGATTGCATTAAGAACCACGCCTCGAAAGGCAATGAACTTGAGCCTCATAAAATATTCAAATCCAAATGTTTCCCCGCTTTTCACTTAAATTGATAGGCCATGAAATGAGTATGTCAAAGATAAATCATCCACAGAATATCCAAAAAAGAAAGGCCAGCAAAGAAAGAAACAGGTAGGAATCGTATAGTATTTATTTTTTCTCAACCATTTCAAGGAATTACAGAATCCTGATCTCTAGTTTCAGGTAGTTGTAGTAGGTGTGTTGGACCGTCTCTTATTGTTTGTTGCAACCTCATAAATATGTTTGTTTCGAAAAAAAGGTTCAAAGGCATTTCAGGGATTGTTCGAAAAGGGTTCCCTGAACTTTAATTGCGTGTTCAGGACTCTCGGGGTAATTAAATTGATACATATTTCATGTCAGGGGAATGCGGAATTATATGGTCCACGCCTCAAAAGAACAAAAAAGGAATACCAAAGAGGATCAAAAAGCCTCGCCCAAAACATAAACAAAATTCCACAATGCTTAGCCAGGGATGTCAAGCTGGCCAAGATCAAATGGCCAGTGACTCCTATAATAAGAGTCTTATTACACACCGAAACCGAACCGAACCGAACCCAACCCAACCCAACCCAATTCGAATCCAAAACCACAGACGACATTTGAGGATCATCATCAACTCGATCATGTGTAAATCTAGAGCAAATCCATATCAATATCAATTTAGATGGGTCCCGTCTCGTCCACACTAGTAAAAAAAAACGTTGTAGACAGTATTTCGTAATCAATTTAAATATTTTTAGCTTTGATTTTATTAAAATTGCAGTTTTAAGTTTTTTGAAATAGAGAAATATTAAATTGTTGTTCAAATATTTTAACATAACTTTTTTTTAAGATACATTTTTTTTAATAATTCTATATTTTTTATTTTTATTGAAACGTTAAGCAACCAACTGATACAAAGCAACTAAAATGGTGGCATTATTTACGGAACAAATTTTAAAATCTTAAAATTGAACTTTAAAAGTAAAACCATATTAAACGTAATTATAATGCATTTATTTAAAACTTATAGGACACATTTCGAATTTATATATTTTAATATTATGTCATGTAATTAGTATATTCATTGAAATATGAAATATAACATTTTTAATTCAAAATCCAGATATTTACTTTTTATTTTTCCATTTTTTTATCAGTGCAGTTTTTTCCAAGTCGTATTCCATTTTTTTAATCAGTGTAATTTTCCCCAAGTTGTTGACCCAGTGTAACGGCAAACCAAGGTTTAAGCGATAGCCTAAGCATCACATTCACTTTAGATTTTTTATAATTATTTTTCTTTTTTCAATAAATAAAAAAATTAGAGTCTTGGAAAAAAAAATCTGTCGCATTTCTGATGTATGGGGCTCTCTGTTCCGAGTTCTTATCGTTCTTAGCCACAATATCATTTGTCAAAGTGTCAACTGTTGGCATTGTTTGTGTTTATATAGTTTTGGTGTGGCATCTTCGTTTCGCCCTTTGTTTTTCGCTGTCTGTCCGAAATCTGAGCATTGAAAATTGAGTAATATGCTCGGGTATTCGGTATGCGGGCCGCTTTTTTCTGAGAGATTGGTTAGTCGAGATTGGCGGGGAGTGATGCGGCATTTTATAATAATGCAGAGAATAAGAATGATGAGGCGGCATGCTATTGGGGATTGGCTTTTTGCCGTTGCAGGCAGGTTCTAAAAAGATTGGAAGATTCATTGCTTCTCTGACAAGGCCGGTAGCTCAAAGTGGATAAAGGGAATGCAGCTTAAAAGATCAAGATTAGCGGTTGACGGAAAGTCAAGGTAAACGGATTTGAAATGTTTCTAAGACGGTCTTGGCTTCTAAAACCTTTTAAATATGGAAATTCTAAGACAATCTTATGATTTGTTAGATGAAAAGCGTTTAAATAAAGGGGTTTCTCTCTTGAGCTTTTAAAAGTCTTTTGCTCTAAGGCTTTTAAACTCTAATCTCAGCTAAAATTTATTAAATGAACAGTCACATTAATTGATCTTTCAACTATTTCTTCTCAATCAATTTGCTCCACTTTTAATGACTCACAATCTTTGTAGAAAAGATTTCCAAAGCATACATTAAAAAAAAGCAAGCTCGTTAATGTAATGAAATTTAACCATTTTTGGTATGCAATCTCAATCGAATTTTGCTCACTTGACACCTGAAGCGTCGTCACCTGTCGCACGAGCAGACCTTTCACAGAAAAAGCCAGACAATTGATTATACAATCTACCATTTAGCAATAATTGCTTTTTGCCGAAAGGTGTATTAACATTGACCGAAGTTAAAGTTGCAATTTTCACACGATAGTAAAAAAATATAAAATATAAAATATATATATAAAAAAAAGAGGATAGACACCCACCTGAACAGACTAATTGCAGGTGGGCCCCAAAAAAGCGTGTTGGCGTCTTGGCCAAAAGAAATTTCATCGGGATTTATGCTCGAGTGTTTTGACAACAGGCCGAAGACTTTCAAAACGATTTATTTATGCCTTTTTGCAAATCATTTTCCAAATTGAAATTGGGTTAATTGAGCTTGACTTTGAACAGTTAAAAGGGTAGAAGAATGTTTGTGTGTAGGCTGTATCCAGAGAAATGTAGAATACTGAGAGATGGAGAGTCTGAGAATCGATCTCAGTGAAGTCTTACAAATGCAATCTGTGGTTTTGAGCATCTTGAATGAATGAAAGCTAGAACGCTTGAGTAGTTTGGCTGGAAAAGGGGAGGAATAATGGCTTTAAAATGGTAATGCTGATACGCTTAGGTAAATAAGTGGGCAAGTGGATCGATTCTAAGACTTCTTCATTCATCTGCAAATGCAGATACATAACTGTTAGAGTGTTAGATGCCAACTTTCCACATGATTGATGAACCATCAGCTCAAGAATGGCTATAGAATATATATATACGCTAATCAAAGAACTACGATAAAAGAAGCCAAGATTTTCACTTCATTAAGTTGGTCTTTGTCCAAAGGAATCTATAGAGATTCTAAGCTATCCACCGTTAAATTGTTTTTCCTTTGGTATTTTCGTAATTTACTTGATTAAATGCATTGAATCATTAGGCGTTCTCCATCGAAAAAGAGAGAAAAACTAGTTTACAGAATCCAGATAGTGGCGCAGGAAGCCGAAGCCGGCACACACGAAAATTTTTCCGTCGAAGGTAAGCCACATTTTCAACCGAAAAATACAAAAACTGTAGAAAAAAAAAAGAACACAATGAACTGAGGAGAGACACCTGCTGTCCAAGCCGTTAGCAGTTAGCAGTTAGCTACCGCCACACAATGGACCCAAGTCGAAGTCGAAGTTGAAGTGGAGGTATCGAGGTATCTGGTATGCAACCTGTAGATATGCGCTTTATAATTGCATGAACCGCTGCGCCAACTGACCCACTTTTACACCACACTATACTATGCCATAGGACCCCACAGTCCCACAATAATGAAGCTTGTCGGCTTCTGTGGGCCCCCAAAATAGAAAAATTAAACAAGGTAAATTAGTTTTAAACAAATGTAAGCCCGCATAGGCAATAATTTATGCAATGGCTTGAAGTCTTTGAACTTTTCGAAAAACCCAACAAGCTTTGCTTGTTTATCTCGACACCTAAAAACAAAAATTTAAAATTCAATCTCTAAAAGTTCAGCTTTTCAGAATGGATACGCTGCGCCAGAAGATTTCGGAGCTCTTTAATAATGCCATACCCACAATGGATGAAGTTGTACAAAGTCCTAAACATGTAGAGAATCCAGAAGCAGTTGAAATCTTAGCAAATGAAGAAAAGGAAACACCAAATCAGGAGACTGGGAAACTTGAAACCACAGAACCCATTACCTCTGGCGATATTCCAGTGCCGGATACAAAGTTGCAAAATTTCAAAACTATAAACTACGAACTGGAATTTGTTGACTTTGTGGATAGGAATGCTCCCAAGGGTTTATCGAAAAAGTTAATGGAAATTTTGCCCTACTTAAAGATCAGCTTTTTGTCTTGGCCAGCATTTTGGTTTTGGCGTGGCTACAATTGGCAGTCCAAACGCAAAACCGAAAGGATTGGTCTTTATATTCAAAGGGTGAATTGGTTTTATTCATAAGTTCTCTTTTAAAACCAAGTTTTTTTTAGACCTATCAGCAAGCCAAACTAATGCAGTTGGCCATCTTAGCCACTGGCTTTTTGACAGTATCAATGGGACAACCTGCAGGTTTGCCCGTACAATTTCATAAAGTGCAAAACAATACGACTAAAGAACATGATATTGAGGACTTAGATTAGGTAAGCCTTGATATATATTTCTATCTAAACTTTACACACACAAATTTTAAATTTATTTCTAACTTTTCGCTAAAATAAATTTGAAATTCTATAACTAAAAATGGGCATCCAAAGCTTTTACAACAGCTTAAAGCAGAAAATCCAAGGATCTTCAAAAATGGAAAGGAATGAACAATACGAAGAAAAGATCAAGAAGCCACCTCAAATGCAAAATATTGGCGAGCAAATACAACTAATGCTGCAATCCAAATCCTTTGAAAGTGCATACAATACCGCCGCCCCATTTCTCTTTGCAAGTTTGGGGGCGTGGCCAGGCTATTGGCTTTTCCGGGGAATGGATTATCATGTACATCGATCGCATATTCCATTGCCCATCTATATTAGACAGGTAGGTCCATGGTTTTTATTTGGTTAAATCTTTTCTTTCCTAAAAAATTTATATATTTTTCAGACCTACTATCAAGCCAAAGTGGTTCAGTTATTTATTATTTTGGCTGGAACTTATACTGTGTTCAGAAATAACAGTCGCCTGCGATTATTGAACACAAATGGCGTGGTAGACTCATAGTTCCTTGAATAACTTTCTATAGATGCCCAAATGCCTTTCCTTAAACTGATCTAAGAATATCTGGAAGCCGAACTTTTAGTTTAACAAACATAATTTGAATATAAATAAATTCTAGAATTATTTTCTATATGGTTCGGTGTGTCGGGGGACTTGATTCATTGGACTCATCATTGTCTTTTGACTCTTCAGTTTTCGTTTGAAGTTTCCCTTCTTTGGTTTCCTCATCGCTGATCTCTCCTCTAATCTCCTTGATAATTTTTGCTACCAACCAAGGTTGAATGCCATTTCTGATCAGCTCCATGCAGATTTTAAGTGATTCCTTGCTCAATCCAGCGTTTACTAATTCCAACATACAATGTAGCACAGTTAGGGCTTTTTTGGATTTTTCACTAGAGTTTTCAGACATTTTTTGACATAATCTATATTTAACCCTTAACAATTCCGATAAAATTTCTGAATAGTTACAATTCAATGCCTTAAATATTTCTTTCAAAAATTATAATGACAGAAATATCAAAACAATTTTGATAGAATTTTAATGTGGGTAATATGATTATAAAATTTACTTTTTTATTTATTATGTGAAATAAATCTTTATTACTCGTCTCATAAAATATGTTTTTAACCTTCAGTTTTGTTTTCATCAGTAGGAAATGATTTTTTTTAACAGTGGGTTTTTAAGGATTACAAATATGAAAATGAAAAAATTATCTTTTTGGCTGTGTCAAAATATTTGATTGTTTTCTATTGCCAAAGCTAATGACGTTCGTTCCAAACCCCTATCACCTAGCCGTACCGTATACCATTTACCAGCTGTAAATCGTAACACCGTTTCAAGTTCAGAGTTCAGTAATTAGCCACCTGCTCCAGTGAACCCCCATGTTGTGCGTTCGCCACGATCTATCTACCCGCTGCCAAGTGGAAAGATAAATTAGCTACAAATTAAACAAATTATACACGCTAGAGAGGCAATGCATACAGAGTTTTCAGGAGAATGGTAAAGAAATCTCAGCTGGCGGACAATTAAAAAACGCTTAAATGAAGATATTTTTCAGGCGGCAAGTGCAGTTGCCGCCAGCATGTGATAAGTAAGAGCAAACACTTAATTATGAGAGGGAGATTTATTGTATCTTCTTGGCCTTACCTGTATGAGATACATTTTCCTCTTTTATTTTTAGTTTGTTTTTTTTTCGTTGCTCCACACAAACGAATGCTAATTATGCAGCATCTGACTATATGTTGATGATGAAGTTGTTACTGTCTTGCTCTACTTGGAATGCAGTTCACTTTTTATGGGTCTGGTGTAATTGTGTTCAATTAGAAACCGAAAAGAAACGAACGTTCTCAAATGGAAATTAATTGAAAAACGTTTTCGCTGCGAACATTTAGAACTTCACTTGAGCGCGAAGCAATTTCCAGCTTGAACTGAGGCGTTGAAATCAAAAGAGTGTTGGCCGTTGTCCTTATTGTAAAGTTTTATATAGACGGGCTATATAAAGGCAATTAGTCAGCAGCACGTAAAAACACAAAAACTTGTAAAGGGAAGTACTATAAACTCTCTCTTCTTGTGGCAGGTTAACCCTAACACGATCGATAGGGGGTAGTATATAAATTTTGAGAGGGTGTTTTCCTTGTTTAACACACTTTACTTGCTATGGCAATTGGTTTTACGAATGCCTTCACAAGGTGTTTCACACACACAAAATCGATCAAACAAATATTTTCAAACACAATTGTCCAGCTCAATGTATAGGAACTTGAGCGGTCTTTTTTGTATTTCAAGGTTTCTTATGTTTTTCTTATTTATTTACACAATTATTTACAGTTCGTTGGTTTAGTTAGTGCTTTAGTGCATATTTTACTGTGTTGTTTATTTATTTAAATGTTGTATATTATTTGTGTTATTATATTTTTCGTTAACGCGTTTGCATGACCATCGTGTCGGTGAGTTGAGCGCGAACTGAATTGAAATTGCGCTGGCTTGTGGCTACAAAGCAGCTTGTGGATTGTATCTTATGGATTCCATGCAACCTCATCATGAGGTTCGCTTCGAACATGTTTGGAAATATCTGTGATAACCATCGGATCGGACAGGTTGGGAATGTTTGGAATATGTCCGCAAGATTCTCGTGTACGTAATGCTCTTGAAATCGCTTCGACATTTCTTGTTGTCACAACTTCGGAATTTGGATTATTCAGGGAGGCGGCGCCCACTAGGAATTTAGTTAATTTGTTGATTACCCCACCAAGCAATATGGGGCAAAAATTGGGCTTAACGAACGCTAAGTGGTTTTAATAGGTGAAATACTAAGGGTTGATGGGAGTGTGGCGAAAGTTCTTCAGTTGGGCATGGGTTAAATAAGGGATTTCTTAATATTTGTAATACATATGTTTAAGTAAGATTAAAGCAAAAATAAAGTTAAAAAAGGCTTTAGCTAAATAAATTGCTGATTTCTTTTAATATATTTAATACATTTCATTTTTTTAAGTGTGAAGGATATACTTTTTTAAGAACGTAGACACTTTTTATCTTTTTGGGTACTATTAAAGATTAAAAAAAAAATTAAATAGGCTTTATGCAAAATGACATGCTATTTTCTTTAAATAAATGTAATATATGCGGCCATTACTTTTCGAGGTAGTTGGTACAGTTCATAGAAGTTAAAAATATATATTTTTCGCTTTAAGCCAGCCCAACCTAATCCAACCCAAAAACCTCTCATAACTATTTATCTCCCCACACCCAGGCCACTATATCTCAGAGCTTGTGGAACGCATTGCAACAGGTTCGCCGGGCATTAAAAATAAAAGCTGCAAAAACAATGTGTAAGGCGGAAAAAAACGAGACCATAATAATTAATACCGATCGGCCGAGAGACCCACCGAGTCCATCCGAAGGAGCGAAGTGCGTAAGTGAAAAATAAAGAAAAACAGGAAATTATTCGCAGCAAAAGTTGCGAAATATTTCATAACCTGCCACCGCGAAAGATGACAAAACTGCGGATGGATGTGGATGTGGGTAAAGAAATTTCACCTAAATATGGACAAAACGGGGCGTGTGCCGGTCAATAATCTCGTGAACACCCTTGAAATGAGCCTGAAAAACAGCATTCAATTTGCAAAAAATTGAAAATGTAAAGGAAAAAAGAAATTTTTGGCTTATTTTTTACCAATTTCTTTGGCCAAGCCTGCCCGATTTTCTGGCATCTTGTGGCACAAATGTGTGGCACCGTGATAAATGCACCGAGTAAGACGGGAAAAAAATCAAAATAAGCTGAAACACAAAAAAAAACCTGCAATCAGCAAACGAAAGTGAAACAAAAGCGCCGACGAGCGAGTAAGAGAGACAGGGAAGGAGACATCGGGAACGTTAAGCGAAAAACTTGCAATTTCCATTTTAAATACGCAACAACTTTCGGCTAGAGGCAGGCCGCATTCACAAGGAGTCCAAGTCGCTGAATTCCCCACCTCTGCAGCTGCTTAAGAAAGCCATAAAGGGAGGGGCGGGAGGCGGTGGATCGTAGGACCAGACCCAGGCCTACACTGGCAAAAAATAACATGGATACATTCAAATAACATTAGCATCATACATTTCCAAAAGCCTCTAAATTCAAAACTAAATAATATCACAAATTATTCCCAAAATTTTAAAGATTTATCGTTGGGTCTACACTAAGAAGAAATAACAAATTATGCTAATTGGGATGTTCGAAATTAATCGCTAAATATAAGAAAATCCACATCTATATCAGTACTTGGTTCTTTTAAATATAAAGGTCATTAAAATGGATTTATTTATAAGCAACTAAATATTTTAAAAATTCAAATAACATCATAAAAAGCATTTAAGAAAAATGTTTGCCAAAATTTACGGATTCATCATTCTTTTGTCAAGGCAATCTTTAAGCTTATAAAACTTTATCTTATGATTAAGATAGGATATAAATTAGTGAAAGTCATTTAAAGAAAAAAGTATAAGTATGAACAAACAACTAATAAATGTTTAATAAAATTAAATTAAACTAAATTAAATAGAAGTTAGCTTACAGGCAACAACGCAAGTCAATCTTTTATGGTTTTGATAATACTGTAAACTCAGCATAAAGACAGCTTTGTTTATGTCTTTTTCTCGGTGTAAGCTTGAACAACAAACAACTTGGGCCACAACTCCTCGTCGACTGAGCTGTTGGTTGTCTGTGGATCGTCTGGCTCTTGATTGGAGCTGCCCTCCAGGAATCGGAGAGCTGGAGCAGCAGAAGAAGTTTAGGGAGCCTGTGTATGGAGACTGGGCGGATTGGCGCTCTTTTGTTGGATATGTCATCAGCATAAATTTTGCCGCGCATTCATCATAATTTCCATGCATTTAATTTGTATCATAAATTGTCTGCTTTACTCTAGGAGTCTCTGAGACTGAGATTGGGATGCGACGATGGCCATAAAGGCTGAGAGATATGAAATCTTCAATTAGTTCTGGAGGCGGGTGAAGCTTTACTTTTGCCAAGTTCCAAAGGAAGTTCATTGAACGGCGGGCATTTTCACTTTCACTTTGCACTGTGGCTGGTGGGAAATGGGAAATGCAGGTTCAATGGTCACGCACTTGGCAAAACAGCAGCCAAAGCTAAATGACACATCCCTAGCCGGGTGTCTGATTACCCAGCAGATTTTGCAAATGAGCCGGGCAAACATTGGTAAAATCAAAAAACAACAGCAACAACAAGCCCAGACACTTGAGATACAACGAAAAGCATTCGCCAGATACAAAGATACAGAGATACAACGATACAGAGATACTCGACGCACGTTTGAATGCTGTTGTAGTACTATACAGCGATCAATAACAATAAAAGAGGCAGACTGTCTGGGCCGAGATGGGATCGTCGTTGTTGGCCAGGTTAAAGATCGTTAGGCGCGACAAGGGGTCAGGTAGTGGTGAAGCAAGTGATGAACACACTTATAAAAAAAATTAATTTTAAACATAAATATTTGGCTATTGAATTTAAAATTCGTTGGTTCAGCAAAAAATATTTACATTTATACAAATACTATTCATGCTTGATTTCATATTAAAACATTTCAATTAAAGTAAAAACAATATATTTAAAATGGTGCCAGCTTAGAAAAAAATTA